TGATTTCGGACAGCGGTCGTCGTCTCCATCCCCCCTCGCCCTCCACGCCCCGCGCCGGCGCGGGCGCTGCCGAGACTTGCGTGCAGAGGGCCATTCTTCCAGCAGCGTTTGCAGATGATTGTGGACTGCGCGGACGGGTCGCCCACGTCTCCGCCCGCGCGTCTTGAACCTAGCACTTGACCGTTGTAAGAAGCAGGCCGCGAGGCGCGGGGCGCCGCGCTCAAGGCCAGGCCCCAAGCACCCGCGCAATCTCGCGTTGCTGGCGCGTTCTCTGGCACGCGCGGTTTGGGGGAATTGGTCGAGCCCTGGTCTCCCGTCTCCTCGCGTCGCGCCACGCCGCTGGCGATCGCGTCGTCATCGGCCCCTCTCGCGTTGAGCTGTTGCGTCCGCCGTCCCGTCGGAGGTGGTCCGTGAGAGCCCAGAGTAATGCAGCTGAGTGAGAGAAGGCGGGTTTGGCATCGCTGCGGCGGGCGTCGGGAGATTCGCGCAAGCTTCGCCTCGTCCTTCCAGGCGCTGAACGTAGAGCTCGCATCTGGAATCTGGCCCCCCATTTGGACGTCGCCTTGCTCTTTCTGGGATTGCTTCGATCGATCGCGGCGTCGCCGCGGGCCCTCAGGAGCGCGCGCGGGCTCCGGGGCAGCGCCGGGCCCCTGCGTTATCTAAGATTGCCCGGGATCGGGGGGCCGCGGCGGGGCCAGAGGTAAAATGGTTGCCTGATTTTTCTGGGGCGCACCTGCCTCCTGCTGCGCCTCGCTTGCTTCGTCGACACCTGGGGGGTCGCCCAGGACTCCGCGAAGGGCGCCCATGGCGCCCCGCATGCTGAGTGGTCTGTTCCCCCCTCAGGCGTGGACATATTGCTGTCGGCGCTCGAGTGGCTGCTGGGCGGCCAGGGTCTGTTCGACGCGGCCAATGCCGCCATCCTGGCCTTCCCCCCCGAAGCAATCGCGGTTGCAAGCTTCGCGATGCCAGGTGCGTTTGGTCTCCTGACAAAGTGTGGGGGTTGCGGAACACTGGCGTCCAGTTGTCTGCGATTGTGAGCGCAGCGCTGCGGCCTTTGCTCCTGGCTGCAGCGCCGCCGCGCCAGCGCGGCTTCGTTCTCCGGCGGAACTCCGACACCGCTGTCCTAGAGTTCGACGTCTCCGCTCGCCAGCTATCGGCGACTCCTTGGACGTTCTCCCCCTGCGCTCTCTGGACTTCGGCCGAGTTCCCCCCCCCCTCTGAATAAGGCGTACCTCTCGTTTTGTGCTGGAGTCCCTCGGCCTGCCTAATGCCTGCTTGGAGTTCATCCGCTCCTGTCCTCGGCGATCGAGGACCTTGCCCAAGTGCGGGGCGTGTTCCAGAGGCTCTGTTGGCTCCGCAGTGTCATTGTGCAGGGGCGCGCTCTCTCGGGCACGTTGCGATTGCGCCCTCAGCGCGATTGTCTGTCTTTCTTGAGGACCTCAGCGAATCGATCGAAGTTCCTGGCCCGGGCCTCGCGGGGGCCTGCGCCGATGACACTGGGGGGCTCGTTGAGGGAGTTTCGGGTGGTCCTGGCCATGGCCTGCGCAGAATACATTGTAAATATCTCCCTGAAGGTCTCCAAGTACAGGGCGGCCCCCAGTAGCGGCCGAGATCGCCACCTCATGCCCCTGGTTGGGCTGACATTGAGGTTGCCCCATCCCTGGTTTATCTTGGGATCCACGCGGGCCCTGCAGTAACGGCCGAGACGCGGTGAATTGACCTTGTCGCCAAGCTTAGGCATATATCGCACGCTATTGGACGGGCGCCACTCCAGGGAGCCTCTCCTCGATCTCGCACAACGCTCGCGCTGCTAGCAACTCATCGCATGTGGCTCAGTTGTCACGCTTGCCGCCGAGGCTGCTGACGTTCGAGCTGGCCGCCTAGTCTTTCGCGCGCCGCCGGGCGCGTTCAGCCTCGGCGCCTGGGGCGCCGGGCCATTCCCAGACGCGCGGCCCCCGGCCCAGCTGCAGGCGCATGCCGGCGCGAACCCGATGTGGAACGCCCTGAATATGCTGCGGACGGGCCGACCCTACCCGAGCTTCTGGCTCTCTCTCCCACCTTCGCAGATATGATGGCCGATGCCGTTGCTGCCAGTGCGCCGCGCCAGTGCATGGAGGGGGTGCTCGCGTCCGCTTTTCGGCGGCTCGGGGCGAGCTCGCGCGCGCTCTCAGTCTCCGCCCTCGGGCCGGGCGCGCAGCTCATCTCGCTCTTCTTGCGCGGGCACCTCGCGACGAGCCCTTCGCTGGCTTGCTGGGCATCCGCTTCAGAGATTTGCTCGGTCGTCGGGGCCGAGAGGCCGACCTCATCTTGTGGAGCGAGGTCATTGGGCTCTGCTCTCTCGCTGCTCGCGCTCGCGGACTTGGGCTGTGCTGCGGACATGAGAGGACGCATGCCTGACCTCCTCGCGCATGATTCGCCCGCTGGACAAGCCCGCCAGCGCCTCTGGCTGCCGCGGCGCGCCTGGCGCTCTGCGGAATTGCGCCCGCTGTCGCCCGCTCCGCGTGGCGCTGCGTCGGGCGCTCGCGCAGCCCTGCCCGCTGCCCCTCTTAGAGCGCGGGTCGTTGATGTCGCCCACTCTCCACGCGGCGGCGTCGGCGCTGGCGGGCGGCGACGCGCTCCGCCTGCCGAGCGGCGCGGGCGGTCCCAGCGCGGCCGCTGTCGGAGCCCCAGGCTTGGATCTGCGCGCCTCCAGGTGCGCGTTCGACGCGAGTGGCCATGCCCCCCGCATGTCAGCTGAGGAGAAGGCCATCTTTCACGCGCTCGAGTCTCGTGGTGCCTCTGGTGCTCCCTCGACCTCTTCCTCGTCTTCTTCGGCGTCTTCCTGCCTTTCGTCTCCCGCGCCTGCCCGGGCGCCTCCATCTTCGTGCTCTCAGGGCTCGCCGTCGAGAGCGCCGTCGACGCCCAGGGCCCATTCGCGACTGTCGGTGCCGCCCTCGAGGCTCGCGCAGTTAGCCTCGTCCTCGCCGTCGGCACCGTCCATTTTGATTGATACCCCTCCGTCGTCGAGAGGGTCCTCTCGGCCTCCTCCTCCGCCGTGTGCCCCCGCCGATGACGATTGGATTGTGAGTGTGAGTTCCCCCAGTGCCTCGTTTGAGCCCTCGAGCTTCATGTCGCCCGCTCGTTCGGTTTCGTCTCGGAGACGCCCTTCGTGGTCGAGGATCTCCTCTGACTGCGCGTCCATTTCCCGTCCATTGCGTGTCCCCTCTTCCTCTCTGCCCGCTCCATATTTTCCTGGCGTCCTTCTTTCTCTCCCTCTTCTCACGCTTGTGAACAGTGCCGTCAGGTCTTGCTTGCACCTCGCCGATGCAGTTAATTTCTCACCAGTCTGGCTCTTCTTCGCCCCGCCATTCGCGATGAACCCTGCTCCTGCTCCTGCGATGCCCCTCACCTCCTCCTCCGCCTCCTCTTTCTCCTCCTCACCCTCCTTCTCCTCCTCCTCCTCCTCCTTCTCTCCCCCTCCTCCTCCTCCTCCTCCTCCTCCTCCTCCTCCTCCTCCTCCTCCTCCTCCTCTTCCTTCTCCTCCTCATCAGCTGGCAGCCGCTGCGTGTGCGATGGCCTTTCTGGTCCTTGTGTTTCCCCGCCTCTCCCCCCGCTTGCCTCGCTTTGTCGTCCTGCGCGACGACCTGTGCGCGCGCGTTTCAGGCGCGCCCCGCTGCGCGGCCCCCGCGTGCACCCGCGACTCGGCCGAATCGTCTGCTGTCGCCGCTGCAATTCGCGGTTCCTCCTTCCTCGGTGCTGATCCCTCCAGCGAGGACGGCGTCGACATTGGCAGGGGGCCGCGGGGTCTCTAGACGTGGCCGGTGACGATTTCACCCCCCGCATTCTCGTCGCCTGCTCCTCTTTTTCTTTTTCATCCTCCTCTTCCTCCTCCTCCTCCTCCTCCTCCTCCTCTTTGTCCTCCTCCTCCTCCTCTTCTTCCTCTCCTCCTCCTCCTCCTCTTCCTCCCCCTCCTCCTCCTCCTCCTCCTCCTCCTCCTCCTCCTCCTCCTCCTCTTCCTCTTTCTCCTCCTCGTTTTCCTCTTCCTCTTCTTGCGCATGTTCCTCGGACCATTTAGAGCCTCGCTGGATCAGGTCCTGCGTCTGATGAACCACACTTGGGCTCCGCAGCGCCGAAGCGCTGCTCGGGGCGCTCCTCTCTTGCTGCTCGTGCACCCGCGGGCCGCGGCCGCGGGCTGCCCACCCCCTGGGGGGTCTGCTTGCCGCGGGTGGCGTTCGCGGGGGGGTTCTCCGACGATGCGGCGGCAGCCCACCGCGCGGCGCCGTGCCCTTCCAGCGCCAGTCGGCGCGCGGGCCGCGCGGCGGTGGCGGCACAGATCCGGCGGCGAGGCAGGCCGCGCGCCCCCCTCGCGGACGGTGCGGGGACGGAGGCCTTTTCTCAACGGGCCCGTCTGCGCCTGCGGATGGCTCCCGCGCGGATGCGACGCCCGGCGGCGGTTCCTCGCGGCGGAGGCGAGGCTCAGCTGTCGAGGACGTCGGCCCGGTGTTGCCACCCAGTGGGTAGCACTGAGCTGGCAGTAGGGGTGGGGATTCAGCCCGTCTGTGGCCCTCGAGCTGAGATGGACGTTGTTGCACCCCCATGGGCCGTAGTACCCTCGGAGTCCCTCCCTCCGCCCCTCGGAGGCGGGGGGTTCAGCGCAGTTTTGGCCTTCGGCCCGAGGTGGATGGTACTACCCCCCCCCGCCCCTCACGGGCCGCTGCCATTACGAAGCGTCACTCCGTCCCCTCTCCTCCCACCCCCCTCTTTCACGCGCCGTCCCACCTCAGCGTTGTCGCATCATCGTTCCGCCTGATCTGTGCCGCCGAGGGTATGCTGCCTTCTGCGGGTGTCGGTTGGCCTACATTGCCCCCAAAACAATTAGTTCGGACCACTCAGATTTTCCGATTCCTTCCTCCGTCCCCCTCCCCCTAGATGGCAGTCGTCTCCCCCCCTCTCCTGCTCGCCGACCCCGCCCTCATCCCTTTTCCCCCTCGCCAACCTCGCCCTCTGAAGTCACCCCTCGATGCAGCCGTGGCGGCGGAGGCGCCGCGCGCCTTCTCGCGCGCCTCGCTACTCCCTCCTCGCTCCTCCCGCCTCCCTCCTCGCTTCCCTTCGCTCCCCCTCGGCCAGCTCGTCCTCTCCGCGTCCCCCCTTGCCGGCAGGCCCCAGAGGGCGCCGCGCCCAGCGGCGCCAGGCGCCGGGCGGCTTGAGCTCGCCCTCGCGCGCGCAGCGCCCGCGTCGCCTGGGAGGCGAGCGGGCGTGCCTATGCGTCGTCGTCATCGTCGCCGTCGTCGTAGCAGCCGTCGTCATCGTCGCCGTCGTCGTCGTCGTCGTCGTCGTCGTCGTCGTCGCCTCCGCCGCCGTCGTCGTCGTCATCGTCGTAGACGCCGCCCTCTACGTCGTCGTCGACGCCATCGCCCCCCCCCCCCTCCCGCCCTTCCTCCTCCTTCCTCCTGCCTCCTGCATCCGATCGCCACCGCTCTCCAGCTATTTCTCCAGTCCGTGTATCCTCTCTTCGCCCTTGTCCTTCTCTCTGTCCCTCTCCTTGTGTCACCCTTCGTGCGTTCACTGTCAGTAAGAAGGCTCTAGTTCTCCATGCGAGCGGTAAATTTTTGGTGTGGCATTACTCATGGACTCTTTCAGGGCTGTGCAGTTCGGCTGTGGACTAGCATCCCCCGAGGTGCAGGCGGGCGAGCTGGCTTGAAGGTTCGCATTGTCGAGGCCTCTCGCAAGCGAGGCGGGAAGCATGAGGGAGGACGGAGGCATCAGGTCGCAATGAGGGAAAGGGGTCCTGAGGGAAACGGGTCCTCGAGTGATGGAAGCCATTCCCTGGGCCTCGGGTGAGAGCCCCCGAGTGTTTAAAATCAGTGCCCCATTCATGGTGCGTAGGGCGGAATCAAGAAGAGGAGGAGGAGGAGGCGGCGGCGGATGACATGGTGCACCCAGGGGTTGGTTGCTTTCCTCTTCTGAACACGCGGAGATGTCGGCAGGGGATCCGAGTGAGAGAGACAGTCGGCCAAGCTGCCCAGATCACAAGACTCCCAGATGCCCTGGGACTTTCCTAGTCCCCAGTGCCGATCTTCGGGAATGCAGCATGCACTGTCGGAGGTCTGCACCGGTGCCTCCCTGGCGCGCTCCGCGTGCCAGGGGCGGCCCGAGAGCCCGCGGCGTCCACCCCGTCGTCCTCGTCGGCGTCGTCGTCGTCCTCCTCCTCTTCTCCCCTCGTCTTCTCTCCTCCTTCCTTCTCCTCCTCCTCCGCCTCCTCCTGCTCTCTTCTCTTCTTCCTTCCCCGGGGTTGAGAATCTCCTCCTATCCAAGCCTTTTTTCGAAAAATTGCGTCGAGACCTCCTTCAGGATGGCCCGAAATCCTCCAGTTCAAATTACATCGTCTCCCAGGGGCCCTCATGGTTCTCACAGAGGTCCTGAAGTTTTTCTGAAAGGCTCCAGGGGCTCTCCAACGGGCTCCAGAGGCTGTCCACTGGGCTCAGGGTGGTCTCCCAATGGTTGTGGGGCCTCTCCCAGAGGTTTTGGGCCACTCAGACGTGGTGATAACTAGAAGCATGGTATGGGCAGGGCGATTGCGAAGGCGATGTGCCATCCGGGCTGGAGATGTTGAAGTGCCTCGAGCGGGAGATCTGGGCAAGGGAATATCGGACCCCCCTGTGCAAGAAAGCATCCGCACATGATGTTGAGAGTTGCCATATGGATGCATGCTGCATGTAGAATCATGGAGCGTTGGGGTAACATGACTGTTGCTGCTGTTGTTTTTGCTGTTGCTTTTGCTGTTGCTGTTGCTGTTGCTGTTGCTGTTGTTGTTGCTCATGTTGTTGTTGTTGTTGTTGTTGCTGCTGCTGCTGCTGTTGTTGTTGTTGTTGTTGTTGAATTCTCATTTCCGAAGAAAAATTATTGTTGATCCCCCCTCACTGGTGCATATTGTTTTTCTCAATCAAAGTGTGCCCTCGACGCTCGCACCCTGTTTTTTGTCAGGGAAAATCGTGGTGCTCAAACTGGGCCCCTGGCCCCCCGGATTGTAACACCAACGGCTCCCACCTGAGAATTCCTCCAAATTTACTCAGGACCCCCGCCCCTGAGACTTCCTCACAATTTACCCAGGATTGGTGTTCCCGCTTGTGACTTCCGCGCAATTGAGTCAGGACCCCCGCTCCCATCTGAGACTTCCTCACAATTTACCCAGGAACGGCGCCCCCGCTGGAGACTTCCTTGCAATTGAATCAAGATTTCCTCGCAATTTAACCACGACCCCCGCTCCCGCCAAAGAGCCCTTCACAACTTATTTAGGAATTGCGCTCTCGCCTGTGGCTTCCATGCGATGTATTCAGAAATCGCGCTTTCGACGCTCAGGAAACACGCTGCGCCAAGGACGCCGTTACAAATGATTTAGTAATCGCGCTCTCGCCATACTCAGGTTGAATGTCCCACCCGCCCGACCCGCCTGTCAGGGGATCGCCCGCCCGTCGTGGGCTCCCGCCCGAGACTTCCTTCAGGAACGGCGCTTTCGCCTAGGACTTCCTCGAACGTTCACGCTCTTACCTTCCTGCTCCTCCTCCCTTTCCCTCCTCCCTCTTCCCTCCTCTCCTCCCTTCTCTCTCCCTCCTCTATTCGCTCATCCTTATGTCTCTCGGCCCTATCCCCTCTCCCTCCTCTCCCTCCTCCCTTCTCCCTCCCCTCTTCTGCCTCCTCTCTCTTTCTCTCTCTCCCCTCTCTCTTTCTTTTCCTCTACCTCTCTGATCTGTGTTTATTTTATGTGCCTCTCTCTCTCTCTTTCTCTCTGTATGCCTCTAAGCAACCGCCCCCCTCTTCGCTCCTTCTCTCCTGGCGTTTCCCCTGCTCTTTCGTCCCTCCCCCTCCCTTCCTCCCACTCTCCCTCGTTCTCCCCCTCCTCTTAATTCCAATGTCGGCACATGTACGCCCACGAAGGATTGTCCGCCCGTTCAGGCTTGCACGCCTGTCTAAGCCCGCCGCCCCCGCAAAGAGAAATAATTCCCCCAAAGGGGGTGTGATCGAAGACAAAAAGGGCGGGTATCGAGGGAGTGGGGAACTCATTTGGAATGACACGCGGGCAGGTAAGAGCGAACAGTCTTATAATGATTGTTGTTGTGGTTGAACTTTTTCTGCTGAAGAATAATGATTGCTGATCACCCCGTCCTGTGACCATTGTGTTTTTTTCCATTGAAGTGCTCCCCCCGGGGCTCGCACATTGGCTTTTAAGCAGGAAAAGTCACTAGGCTCAAATTGGTCCCCCGGCCTCTGGTTTACAACGACAGCGGCTCCCGCTTGATATTTCCCCACAGTGTTTGTCCAAATCGCGCTCTCGCGCGGGACTTCCTGACAATTCATGTACGCATCGCGCTCTCGCGTGGGACTTCCCCGCAATTTATGCGGACGGTGCGCCCCGTGCGCTTAGGAATCACGCTCTCGCTCTTCTGGCTTTTCGGACGATTTACTTGGGAATCGCGCTATCGCTCGAGACCTCTTCGCGACTCATGCAGGACCCACGCATCAGCAAGCCGCCTGCTCGACCTCGTCGCCTGGGCCCGCTCTCCCGACCTGCCCGCTATGGGTCTGCCCACCCGATCTACCCGTTTGGTTCTATTTGTTTTAGGTTCCTTGCCCCCCGATTGGTTAATTTCTCTCGTGGTACATTCTCCCCCCTCCCCTTTCCACCCGTCCTCTCTTCCCTTTAGGGGCTGCACTAGATGCGCGTGGCAGGTAAGGATGATATACCCCCCGCAGGGGGTACGATCGCAGACGACGAGGGCGGGTGCCGAGGGCTCGTGATATACGTTTTGATGAGCACATGGGCTGATAGGAGCGAACAGTCTTAATCTGATTGTAGTTGTTCGTGGTGTTGCTATTGTTTTTGAGCTTTCATCTCAAAAGAAGTATTTTTGTTGATCCCCCCTCCCGGGTAACGATTGTACTTTTTAAGCAAGTGCTTCGCCCGGGGCTCGCACCCCGTTTTTTACCAGCGAAATCGAGGTGTCACCAGACTGCGCCCCTGGCCCCCGGGTTACAACAACAGCGGCTCCCGCCAGACACTACCTCACAATGTTTTCCCACATCGCGCTCTCGCGCGGGACGTCCTAACAATGTATGCAGAAATCGCGCTTTCGCATGGGACTGCCTCGCAACTTATTCAGACGCCGCGCCTTCGACACTCAGGAGTCACGCTTTCGCATTGGCTTATCTCGCGATTTTTTGGGGAGTCGCGCTATCGCTCGAGATTTCCTCGCGATTCATGCAGGACGCACGCTCCAGCAAGCCTCCTGCTCGACCTGGCCGCCTGGCCAGCCTTCCCGACCCGCCTGTTAGGGTCTAGCCGCTCGATCTGCCCGTCAAGTTCTGCCACGTGTTTTCTTTTTCTCGCCCCCCTCCTACTACTGCTTCTCTCGTGTTCCATCCTCCTCCCTCCACCGTGTCCCTTTCTTTTATCCTTTTATCTTTTTCCGTGCCGTATGGGGCTGCATGAAATACACGTTGCAGGTAAGAAATACCTACCACCAAGGGCACGATAGAAGACGAAGAGAGCGGGTATCGAGGGTTTGGGATGTACGTGTTGAATGGCATGCGGGCAGATAGAAGCGAACAGTCTCAAACTGATGTTTGCTGTTGTTGTTGATGTTGTTGTATGTTGTCGTCGTCCCCCTCGCGACCGCCTTCGACCGGCCCGCGACAAGGCCCGCGACCCTCCCGCGGTCCTCACGCGACACACCCGCGACCCGGCCCGCGACCCACCCGTGACCCACCCGCGACCGGCCCCGCGACCCACCCGCGACTCACCCGCGACCCACCCGCGAGCCACCCGCGACACACCCGCGACCCAGCCCGCGACCCACGCGCGACCCACTCTCGAGCCACCCGCGAGTCGGCCCTCGACCCACCCACATGGCTTTAAATTCGCGAAAAGATCGGCACCTGCGGAGGGCTCGTTGTACAAATTGTGAAATTACGCTCCTGCGGCGGGTTTCTTCAGAGCCTCGCAGACTGCCGACGTCCCCGCCGCCCCCTCACTCATATCCGCAACTGCGGGGTGCTACGCACGCGAACTCAATTCTCAGGCGTTCCGCATCCGAGGGTGACCGACGCGAGCCCTAGGCGCGCGCCATCTCGACGGACTACCGACTTAAAACGTGGGGATCCCTTCGGCCGGCCGTGATCGCGAGGGAGAGCGCAGCTGCGCGCGCGGCGGCGCAGGTATTGCGAGTTGTCTGGCCAACCGTGGTTTGGGGTCCCAAGCGAATCCATGGCTCGCCCCTTGGGTTCCAGATTTATCATGCGTTCCCATGGCGTACCCATCACACTGTCCAGCATCTGAGGGATACTCGCGCGCGCGCGGCGGCGGGGGCATGGCGATTTGAGCGCAGCTGCACTGGAGAGCCGTCGCGCTTGCTTAGGAGACCAATCGAATCTCTCGCGCTCACAACTCGAACTTTCAACGTGGCACGTGCTATTCGCATATTCGTCAGGAAATCCACGGTGCAAGGCGCATCTGCGCTCCGCCCCGCGCGCGCGTGGCGTCATAGGAATAGCGAGTGATGTCTTGCCAAAGCGGGAAAGTCGCCATGTCGGTTAGGGAGTCCAGCAGAACCATCAGTGTGCACCACTTGGAGATGTCAAGTTTACATTTGGTTTCCGCAGTTTCCTAATCTGGTCTACATGGGGAGACCGTGCGTGGGGCGATGAGAAAGAGGGGCAGAAGAGGGAGGAGGAGGATGAATTGGTTCCCGAGCTCTCCAAAGCTTGCCAGGGTCTGATTCGATCCAGCCTGATCCCCAAGCTTCGAGTCCGATATCGGTCCGATCCAAATCGGCGCTAGCCGACTCGTTATCCTGCCTGCAGGGGTCGAGCCTTTACCTCGATCCAAAACGATCGGAGGCCGATCCAATGCCGCGCCGATGGCGGCGCGGTCTGGTCCGTTCCCGAGCCGATGTGTCGTCTGTCCCTGACGCTTCGAATCGCCAGCCCCCAGGGGCCACCCTGCCCGCCCATCTGGCCCCAGATGTTATCCAAATCGTCACCCCTCCGTCGTCCCGCCTTCCTGGCACGCAGTTATGGGCGCAGCCATGCCGCAGAAACCATTTGTTCTGTCGCCTCCATCAAAAAAACGTTCTTAGCCGCACGCCCATATTGGACCCCTGCGGGCGGCCGCAAGCTTTTCGCGCGCCTCTTTTGCGGGGGTCGGCCTCCTCGTCGCCAGACGGGTCTTTCTCTGCAAGCGCGGTTGGTGCCTGGCCCTGCTGGTCAACCAGGCCGATGGAACCAAAGAGTTCTCAACGTGCGATTGCGCAGTTTTTCCCTCAGTCTGGCTCTGGAACATGTCGGGCGACGTCTAGATTCGAGCCTCGGCGACACGTGCATGCACGACTGCAGCAAATCATGCGGCAGCGTGTTCGCACTCGTGCGCTGAATGGCGTGACAACGATGCTCCGCCGCGAGTCAGTCGTGTCATACACGCTGTCTGCGCCACCGACGGCGCCATCACCGACGGGGGCGCGCCAGAGGCAGGAATCTCGGGCAGGACGGCCCGTCCATGTCCTCTGGGGCAGGAGCCTCTTCATTCCATCAGAGCATCAGCTCTGGCTCGAAGAGGTGGGCGCGTCGAGGACGTGAATCTCGGACGAATGGCTGACCACAGGTCACCCGCGGAGCCGTGACGTCTCCTCCTCCTGCCTTCCTCCTTCGCCTCCTCGTCCTCCCCCCCATCCCCCCTCTCCTCCTCCTCCTCCCCCTCCCCCTCCTCCTCCTTTCTCCTCTCCCTTTCTCCTCCCCCCCTTCTCCGCCTGCTCCCCTCTCCCCTTGTTCCTCTTCCTCCCCCCTTGCAGGCGTCTCCCCAGACGCGCGGGCGCGTCGCGGCGGATGGACGCGGCGGCGGGAGGAGTGCCGAAGAGGCGCCAGGCCGCGTGCGCGCTTGGGGTCCGCCCTCTCCCCGACGAAGGGGACGACGACGATGCCGACGACGACAACGGCGACGACGACGACGACGACGACGGCACGACGACACGACAACGATAACGACGACGACGACAGCATCGACAGCGACGCCGCCACGAGGACAAGGACGCCAAGGTCGACGGCGACGATGACGAGCACAACGACAATGACGACGACCATGGGGGTGGGGAGGAGGGGGGGGAGGAGGGGGAGGAGGAGGAACACGGAAAACGCTGTGAGGCCCTCTCTCTCTCGCAAACAACGAACAACCCATCTTGATCAGCGATCCGCTTTTTGTAATCTGATTTTACAACACACACGCAACCCCAATCGAACTGTAATCACCTGAGGCCTTATGGCCCGAGGCAAACGTATTCTGGGCGGGGGGTCCGTAGCCCGCTCGAGCGCTTCAGGGCGCCCGGGGGGGGGAAGGAACACATGTAAAGCATTTGTTTGTCTTCATATGTGTTTCCACAAGGAAAAAACAGGACAAACTTGAAAAACAGCGACAGTCACAGGTTTCGTTGCTTTTGCCTTGCTTTTCCAGGTGAAAAAAACACATGGTTCTTTAATGTGTTTCATGTTTTTCCTGTGTTCCCCTCCTCCGTGCTGCTGCGAGGAAGGGCCGTGGGCCGCTCGGAGACCCCAGGGCGCCCAGGGGAGGGCGGAGAAAAACATGAAACACAGTACAAGCATTATGTTTTCACAAGAAAAGCAGGCAAAACTTGAAAAACAGCGACAGTCACAGATGTCGCTGCTTTTTCTTGTTGTTCCATGTGAACACACATGGTTTCTACTGGCTGACATGTTTTTCTTGGTCTAGTATTTAGCTTTCCTGGGCCCAAGACGCCGCCATTGCAGACCCCCCCCACCATGGAAACCTTGTTGAAAAAAAAGGTCACCACACAAGGGCTCCCTTTGTAAAGGCTGCTGCGAAAGGATTCCAAGTGTGAAGGCCACTGCAGATCCCCCACATTTGGGATCCTTGTATAAGTTCGCCGCTCAAGGAATGCGTTTGTAAAAGGCTGCTGCGCAAGGATTTAATCCGTGGAACGTCTGCACCATATGAATACCGACCGTTACAGGTCTTTCTAGCTGTTTCTTATTTCCCAGGTGGAACCACAAATGTTGTTGTACTGTTTTTCATGGTTTTCCTGTTTCCCCCTTTAATTCTCATGGGCTCTAGGTGCCGCCACTGCAGATCCCCCCCGCAATGGAAACCATTGTTGGAAGGCAGCCAGAAAATCAAGCTCTTTTTTTTTAAAAAAAAAGGCTGTTGCACACGGATTCTATGTGTGAAGGCCACTACAGATCCCCCGCACTTGCAATCCTTATTGAAGGTCGCTACACAAGGAAGTCGTTTGTAAAGGCTGTTGCAAAAGGATTATAAGTGTGGAGCGTCCGTACCGTAAGAATACCGACAGTCACAGGTCTTCCTAACTGTTCCCTATTTTGCCACGTGAAAACATATGTTTTGTCATTGTGTTTCCTGTTTTTCCTGTTATTCTCTTCAGCTTTCCTGGGCTCAAGGTGCCGCCACTGCAGATACCCCCACTATGAAACGCTGTCGTAAGGCCGCCACAAAACGAATTATGTTGTCAAGGCTGTTACAAACAAATATTCTAAATGTCCAGGCCCGTACAGGTCACCCACACTTGGAATCATTGTGGAAAGTCGCCACACAAGGAATCCTTGTGTGAATGCTGCTGCAAAAAGAATTTCAGTGTGGAGCGTCTGCACCATAAGAGTACCGACAGTCACGGATCTTCCTAGTTACTACTTTGTTTACCATGTGAAAGCAAATGTTTTTCTTGGTTGCTTTATTTGTCCTGTTTTCCTCTTTAGCTTTCCTGGGCTCAAGGCTCCGTCACTGCAGTCCTTGTAAGTCGGTTGTTAGATTCTCTTCTCTCGATACTTTTGCTTTCCCGGATCGGCATCGTCCAGCGGAGACGCGAAGATCCCCACCGTCTTGCCTGGATCCCTCCAGTCCCCCTTGTCGAACGCGTGGGAGATCTCCAAAGCCTGCAGCAGAACTCCTACCAGCTTGCACTAGCCTGACGAAACAAAGTCATGAGCATCGGCGGGCACTCGGGGCAGCTTGGCATAGGAAGACTTCCCAAGAGTGGAGAAGAGGTGAACCACATGCTCACCTTTGGGACCGTGGGCTGTGCTCTTCTGTAGGGCGGCGTCGTTGCTTTGGCGCCGCTGTCGTTGTGTCAGGGCCAGGTCGAGGTTCCTGATCATTCGGCATTGCATATCAAGTACTTTTGTCCGATTGTCCCAGACCAGAACGTTGACGAACTAGCACATCCTTGGAGTGCATGCGTGCGCATCTGTCAGAGCTTCACTGGTGGGGTAATTTCCCTTTGGGGCTCCTCTCCTTCTTGGGGCCTTCTGGATCGCCTCTGCGCTCTCGCATCATCCGTCTCGGCCATGTCGGTGGGCGGAGCGGTCGTGGAAACGTAGGTTTAGGATGTACTGGAGAAGGTACCTCTCTTGCTGACATACCACCCTGCCCGTCTGGCGACTTACCGTACTTGTACGCACCAATGTCAAATCTTGTTTTTGGGGTCCGAACCGGCATTGTTGTGTTTTGCGAGAAAGTCGCATTGCTAAAGATCTTTTTGTTGCGTTCCCATGCAGTCTCATTTCCTCAGGCAGCATCTCGCTTCGACTATGCGCTTCCTGGCGTCGCTGCAGCTTGAGCGTCTGGGAGAGGGCCGCCAGTTTCTCTTTGATTTCGTGCAGGTCTGCATCGTCCTCGCCGCGCTGTTCCCAGCTCAGCACGCTGGAAATGTTTTTGTCGAGTGGGGTCGGCATGCTCCCGAAAGCAACCGTGGCCGGCCCTCATCAAGACAGTATCCAGGTAGGAACAGACAGCATTCGGTGTTCCACAATCTAGCTAAGGTCTTCAAGTCTCCTGATCATTTTCCTTTGTCTGCTCCACCTGGTTAAGAGCATGTTCTTTGCCATCACCCTCGCCCTTCAGCGCATCAAGGAGCTTGTCTTTGTCAAGGCACGGCTCTTTCACTAGGCGGGCGACCGTGAGATTTTCGACACATCGAGTTCCAGAAAAAGAAGCAGACGATATGGAGGAGGCCTGCCGCGATGCGTTTGGAGTTGGGCCCCCAATGTCCTGAGAGTGTGGCAACTGTTGGCTTGCTCGTCATACCTTCTCAGGGCGATGATGTAATCAATTAAAGTGTCGCTCTTTTCACTTAAAGATATGGGCTCATGTCCTCCCCTTGTGCAGAACGCGAGAGGATGATGTGGGACATGGATCCGACGTAACGCTTCTCATGCTCCGCCACGACGTGCCTCTGGGGCTGCTTGCTCCACCACTGATTCGTCACAAGGCTGCCACAACCCGATGCCAACATCAGCATCTGTGTACACTATCGGGCAGCATCTGTGCAGTAAACAAATCAGTACCTGTTTCCTGTCATGTCTACAGCGTACGCACAGTGGTGAGGTAGTGGCCAACGTCATTATTGTGTTTCGGTTGAGAACGATGAAGCAATAGTCCAAATGTTTCCACTCGACCCTGATGCCGAGCGCTCTTCCCCACGCTTGGGCAGGACTGCCCCACACCTGTCTGATGTCTGACTGCTGGAATCCTCGCCCGAGCGCAATCGCACAGCCCCTGCTTTTGTGCAGCAGTTGCCCTGGACTGCATTCTGCCTCCACTATGAGCTTGCCTCTAGCCGTCGTTGAAGGGGCCCTTGTGCTCTGCGACTACATACATGGTGGTGTCCTAGCTGGCAGGGGGGCGTCGAGCGCAACGCATATCATGATAATATCATCCAGCCTTGTTACCGTGGCCGATTGTGTGTTCCAGACAAAGTTTGTATGTGGAAGCAATACGCTGGAGAAGCGGTGGTATCGCTGGACATGGACAGAATCCTGCACAGGAGGGGAGCAGCCAATGCAGAGGGCGGGAGATTGAGAGCGCATCGGTGGGCCTGCATTCTCATCTGCCAGTTGGGGCATGCCTGCTTCAGTGATCCCGTTTTTCTGTGACATCCGTGCAGTTTGGGAGGAAGCTGCGGGAGAGATACGAAGTCTGTCCACCCGGGTCGCGCGCGAGGTGTCCAAAGACCATGCCGAGGCACACGATCCGCGGGTCAGCCAGGAGGAAGGAGGGCTGAAGGAGGTGGAGGGGTTTCTCATGCTGCTCTCCATGCGCCTAGCCCTCCACCATCTCCTCCACATCCGCCGCATTATCCACCCTCCTCATCTCTCTCTCCCTCTCTATCTCTGTGCCTCTGTCTCTCTCTCTCTCTCTCTCCTGTTCTCCTTCTCCAATCTCACGAACGGTGTTTTCGCTGAGACGTCTTGCGTGTGCTTCCCTGCCAGAACTGGACGGGCCCGCCGGGGGTCCGTCTGCTGCCCCGCCGTGGGCACCCGTGGGGGCCTCGTGGGTGCCCCGCGCCAGAGGGCGCGTCACGAGGAGGCACCGCCAGGGGTGCCCGCCCGTGGGCGCCTCGCGGGCGCCGCGCGCCGGGAAGCCCTCCGGGGGTCTGCCTGGCTGCCGCCCGTGGGCGCCTCGGGCGGGCGCTCCCTGGGCTCCCGCGCCCCGGGGGGAGGCACGCCGAGGCGGCGCCCGGTGCCGGCCACTCGGCGCCTCGTGGGCGCCCCGCGCCTGGGGGAGGTGTGCCGAGGGGTTTCGCCGGGTGCCCGCCCCGAGGGTGCGCCCCGCGCCGCGCAGAGGATCTCTTCGGAGGAAGAAGGAGACATCGAGTCTCGGGGGCGGCAAAGAGGGGGGTGATGACTGTAGAAGGGGGGGGTTTCATGGCGTGGGCCATGATATTTCCCCTGACTTCATGGCGCCTCTTCGTATTTCATTACGTCCCTGGCCTCCCCCGCTGGGCCGCGCACATGCCGCCGGTCATGATTCGCACCACCCCCCCTCTTGGACCCCCCCCTCGTGGCCGCTCCCGAGAGTCTGGCACCCTCCCGATGCCAGACTGATCACACCCCCTGGATAAAGGGCGAGTTCCAGATAGTGCCGCCCCACCGCTCATGTTCCAAAGGAAATCACACCACCCCAGCCAGGCCAGTATCGGCACCACCCTGATCATTGTCAAGTGATGCGTGCGCACGCTCGTTAATCTCAAGTAGCCTGACGAAGGACCCAACCATATGCAGTTGTGAATACCGCAATTGTGAGTACCATCTTCGCCCGCGCTCCCTATGGGGCCACGAACCGTGCGAGGGGCGTACCGAAATTCGTGGCGGGGTACACAATACGAACAAAGACGGTCGGTCTGAGTGCGAGAGGCTGAGGACGGGTGAGCCTGAACGCGAGTGGAGTCTGACTGTGAATGAGTCTGCGTGCGAATCAACGTACATAAGTGTCGACGCCCACGTCGGCACGCTCCTCGCGAGGACCGCGCCCGCTTCCTTCCCTTTTTTTTTCCGCCTCTTTGCCCGTGCGCGCCGATGTCCATGGCTGCGGGCGCGGCGCTGCACGGAGTCCCCGCGACGCGCGCTGGTCGCCCCGAAGGGGTCCCGGCGACGCGCGCGGGTCGCCCGCTGCGCGCAGCAGGGAGAGCGAGCAGGCTGGCTGATAGCGGGCAAGGCTGTGGCCGCTGGGCGGAGAGACGACGGGGGCGAGCGAGGCTCTGGGCAGAGCGCTGCGCGAAATTTCCGGGTCACGCGCTGGTCGCCCCGAGAGGGTCCCAGCGACGCGCGCGGGTTGCCCGCGGCGCGAAGCCAAACAGTCAGACCGTCGAGAGACGGCGAGGCTCGGGCGTGTCGCTGCTCAAGTCAAGCCTGGCGGATAAACTCGGTGAAGCCTAGCGCCCTGGCGAGGGAGTGCGTCTCCACGTTCGACTCCTTCGTTGGCAAACCATCAAAAACGACTGTGCTCGGGCGGCGGCGCCATGCGAGTTCCGCCACTGGGACCTTAGGTGGAGCTCCCTATGGGGCCACGAAACGTGTGAGGGGTGTGCCAAAATGGGGCGGCGGCGTCATGCGATTTCCGCCACCGGGACCTGGGGTGGATCTCCCTATGGGGCCACAAAACGTGTGAGGGGTGTGCCAAAATGGGGCGGCGGCGTCATGCGAGTTCCGCCATTGGGACCTTAGGTGGAGCTCCTATGGGGCCACAAAACGTGTGAGGGGTGTGCCAAAATGGGGCGGCGGCGCCATGCGAGTTCCGCCACTGGGACCTTAGGTGGAGCTACCTATGGGGCCACGAAGCGTGTGAGGGGTGTGCCAAAATGGGGCGGCGGCGCCATGCGAGTTCCGCCACTGGGACCTTAGGTGGAGCTCCCTATGGGGCCACGAACGCGCCAAAATGAGGCGGGGCGCCATGCGATTTCCGCCACCGGGACCAGGGGTGGAGCTCCCTATGGTGCCACGAACCGTGTGAGGTGTGCCAAAATGGGGCGGCGGCGCCATGCGAGTTCCGCCACTGGAAACCTTAGGTGGAGCTCCCTTTGGGGCCACGAAACTGGGGTGTGCCAAATTATGACGCATGCGGGCGGCAGACTGGGGCCTTCGGCGATGCTCCCTATGGGGCACTGGTGACGAAAGGTGGATGCGAGTTCCGCCACTGGGACCTTAGGTGGAGCTCCCTATGGGGCCACGAAACGTGTGAGGGGTGTGCCAAAATGGGGCGGCGGCGCCATGCGAGTTCCGCCACTGGGACCTTAGGTGGAGCTCCCTATGGGGCTACGAAGCGTGTGAGGGTGTGCCGAAAAGAGGGGTGGAGCCGCATGCGAGCGCAGACGCTGGGGCCTTCGGTGGAGCTCTCTATGGGGCCACGAAGCGGGATGATGATGATGATGTTGATGATGATGATGACGATGATGATGATGATGACGGGAGGAGGGAGGAGGGGGGAGGAGGAGGAGAGGAGAGGAGGACGCGGGGCACCGTCTCTTCAAAACGAGGACCCAACACCACAAGATGGTTGGGAAAAAACATATGTTGCAATCGCCCGTTCCTAACACCTTTCACAACATCCACACGCACATTCGTTTTGCGAACAGTTCGACACATCACAATGGAACATCCCTTCACTTGTCGATTACACGTTTGCAGACTGTAGTCCCGCGTGCACTTGCTGGAATGAGAAGGGAGGCATGCGATATTAGCAATATCGTCCAGAACCCACATCATCCTCTTACAGCGCGGTACATCCGCGTTGATTCAGCATGCGCCCAGCGCACGAGTCCGTCAAATAAGACCATTCGCGCGTGTCGAAGTCTTTCCAACACCATTTCACGTTTAGAGCTCCTCGGAAACATATGAGCCACACCGATGGTTGTTGACAAAAAGAATATCAGATGTATTGAGTGGTTGCGCGCGCACGTCCTCATCACCCCCATCAGCGCCATTGCACCACCGTCGTTACCGTCATCGCCGATTGCCGCCATTGCCGCCATCATCACAATTACCTTCACCACCTCCACATGGACATCAGCGCCATCGTCGTCACCAGCATCGACGCAGTCGTCGGCCTTCCGGTCGTCGTCGTCGTGATCGCCACCACCATCGCTGTTACCGTCATCGTTGCCGCCCTCGTCCGCGCCCTCGGCGCCCCGCCCTCCCCCCCCCCACTTCCCCGCATCCGACTCCTTCCTCGGTGACCCCCTGCCCCCCGAGACGAGGCGCTGTCGGCTGCGCGTCATGGTTCGTCCAAGTGTCCCCCCTCCTCCTCCTCCTCCTCCGCCTCCTCCTCCTATGCGGGCAAGGAGCGAAGGAAGCGAGGAGGGGAGAACGAGGATCGAGGATGGTGTCGCCACTTGTGCTTGGGCACTTTTTGGCCCTCGAGCGGCCTCCTGGACATGTCTCCCCATCCACGTTCTCATCATGTTCCTCCCGCCCACTCCCTCCGCCTATGCCCCCTTTTTTCCCCGCTCTTCGCTCACCCTACATCATCGCATTCCCTTCTACCTCCTCCACCTCTCCCCCTACCCAACCCAATCTCTCCCATCCCTCTCCCCCCCTCACTCCCTGCGTCCTCTCTCTCTTCTGCCCCACCTCATTCCTTTCGTGTTAAGCCTCTTCGTCCTTCTCGCCCTGGTCACCATGGGTACCCCTGTCTTCCAAGAGTGTCGTCCATCCCCACCCCTTGGGCCAGTATAGCTTCGGGGAGGGTGCTTAGGAGCAGTTTCAACGATTGCCGACCAGTTGGCTGATTTCCACGGGTCTCCTTGTTGTTCTCTCCCCGTCTTCCTATCCCTGGCTATCCCTGATTGCCTCACTGCTCCTGGCTTACCTACATCCACCCATCAACTCCCTCCACGTGCCCCCCTTCTCCTCTCCCCGTATTTTTCGTCGACGAGACACCTCAGACTGGAACTCGCGCAAAAAGGTAACTGCGGAGCGCGGCTCGGCACGCTGAACGTTTTGCGCCAAGCACATTGGCCTGACCTGATGGCCTCAACGGTCGTGGGCCGTAACTTTCTCGAGAACTTTTCTCAGAGGGGCAGACGACGAAATGCTGGATGAAGATGGCTACTTCAAGCACACACCATACCGAAAATCGATCTGCGCGTCATGGGATGCATGCCTGGCTCGACTACATCGCGGGGCGCCCTGTTGTGCACGCGTCCTCCTCCACCGAAGCCTTGGCTCTCGAGGCTGCCCGACATGGGCGGGGAAAGGGCGCAGAGTACAGGGTGGGCCTTGCCGTGGGCAGCTGAATGCAGCGAGCCGTTCTTTTCTTCGCTCGAGCCCCATGGTCCTTTTTCGCCGAGCTGGTCCAGCCCGCTCGAGTCACCCCGCCGGGGTCGCAGCGCCGGGTGCCGACAGGCCCGCGCGCGCCGCGCCCGCCGCGCCTGCGGCGGGCGGCTCTGGCACGGGCAGCCGCCGCACGACTCCTCGGAGAAGAAGGCGGACCCGCTCCCTCCGTCGAACCCGTGCTGCTTCGCTCCTTTCCTCTCGGGCTTTCTCGGCCTCGCACCCTCGCCCGTGCTGAGCTCTCCACCTCCGTCGCCGCCTGCGCCACAGGGCACGTGTCCTCCTCGAGGCAGGTGCCGACTGGAGCCAGAGCGCCCGGTGCGTCCGCAAGAGCTCGAGCGCCTCGGCCAGCGCGCTCTCGCGAGACGGGGCCGTGATCCACGTCACCAGCTCGCCCGTCACCTCGTCCTCCTCCTCCTCCTGCTCCTG